AGCAAGGAGCCCGATGCGGGACTCGATCCTGGGACTCCAGGATCATGACCTGAGCCGAAGGCAGTCGCTTAACCAACTGAGCCACCCAGGCACCCCAGAGGAAGGTCTTAAGGAGCCTGGTTATGTTCATCAAATAGGGGGAATAGTCACATCAGGTATTCTATAATAAAAAGTAAATATTAAAGCAAATTCCAAAAATCCAAACACAACATATATTTGTGTGTATGTAGGTCTTTACATATATGTACACACATATATCACATATTTTTTAAATGGCCACTTAACATTTTTACCACGACTAATCCCTTAATTAGTAGTAAGTACAAGCTAATTGTATAACTGGGGTTGCATATAGATTTAAATAAGTAAGCTATACAAATACTAATAAAACAGTTTTTTTTAAAATTTTCCTCACCATATTTTCTTTTACTTTTTTTTAAATTAACATATAATGTATTATTTGTTGCAGGCTAATAAAACAATTTCTCAGACTGACTTCTGCCTGTCTATTGCTCATTACAAGAAAAGTTGACAATGTTTTATTTCAGTAGAAAAAGAGTTAACATATTATTCCAGTTTTTAAAATATTTTCTTTGATTTAACTATTTAACGTGTTTTATTCATATGTAAATTTAGTGGGGAACAGAAATCACACAGACCTTACTATTGAATCTTGCTTTAGTAAGCTATATTAGGTGGCTATTTTAATACATACCTAGTCAACAAAAGTGTTAAATTTTGGAAATTATCTTTTGAAATGTTGTTCTAACAGCTATGATAGTTACCTAAAATTTTTCTTTAAGACTATCCTAATGGGAGAAAAGGAGGAAATACATTATTTATGTGTAACTGAGAACAGGCAACACTATTCAAGTCATCTTAAAACATTTTAACAGTTTAACACTGTTAATGATAAACTGTTGGTGAGTCATGGCATTTCTTTCATGGCACTTCTGTGGAAATTCTTCTTTTGACTAAAACTAAGACCGGTATTTTTCTAATTCTTCTCTCCTGATATACATTACAGCTTTACCGTTTCTGACATAACAAGTCTTTCATTTTTCAATACCACTTCATAAATGCTTGCAAAATGTTTTTAAAATGTAGACACTGGGGTATAACATTAAACAAGAAACAAATTCTCACCCTCAAGGTATCACACTGCAGCTAATTCCCTTAAATAAATACACTGAGAGCCTTGGAAACCAAATTTTCTTCCTCAATTGCAGCTGCATGGTTTAATGATTAGATTCCAGGGTAGTTTAATAATGCAGAGGAGTTGGGGAAAGTATGTATAGTGGTGCTCTTTTCAAGTTCAAAAGTTTTCCAAGTATACTCTTTTTTTTTTTTAAAGATTTTTATTTATTTATTTGAGACAGAGAGAATGAGAGAGAGAGAGCACATGAGAGGGGGGAGGGTCAGAGGGAGAAGCAGGCTCCCTGCAGAGCAGGGAGCCCGATGTGGGACTCGATCCCAGGGCTCCAGGATCATGGCCTGAGCCGAAGGCAGTCGCTTAACCAACTGAGCCACCCAGGCGCCCCAAGTATACTCTAACTTTTATCTAAAGGTGTGGTTTGATTGGGGAATGGCGTGATCCACAAGAAACACAGAAAAAAATGAAGGCCACCAAAGAGATCAGGAGTACAAAAGACAGTGGTTTATCCTTAAAAATAGGATTTTAAAGCATAATTGTATTCTCGTCCCTTATGATAAGAAATTACCCTGTCACATTTCCCCTAATAATTAGTATCCTGACTGAGGGGGGGAAAGGTGAATACTAGGAAAAAAATCTGTAGGATTTTTACCTTTCTATATAGACAGAAGAGAAGATTCCTTAAGCTCTAAATTACTCTACCAGAGAATTTTAAAACTCCAATAAATATACTGGAGAGAGATACAAAAATAGTGATCAAGACATTATATAACCTATATATAACCTATTAAATAACCTATATTTAAGAGGATCTTACTTTTCAACTATTCAGTAGAGCATACATTTAAAACCTACAGATAACTTGTCTCTAAGTTTTAGTTACAATTAGACAATCTTTTGGGGTGTCTGGTTGTCTCAGTCAGAAGAGCATGTGACTCTTGATTTCAGGGTTGTGAGTTCAAGCCCCACACTGGGTGGAGCAATAATTTAAATAAATAAATTAAAAAAAAAAAGAAAACCTTTTAAGAAAAGAAGTTACTATAAACAGCTTAAATAGTTGCATACTTATCAAGTCAAAATGCTTCCACATACCAGTTCTCATCATGTAAGTGAAGAAATTCATAAAAGTTTATACAAAATAAGAGTAGTTGTTGCTGTTATTATTTTGTTAACCTTACTTAAATTGCACAAAGTGACATGGGAATTTACTGCATGGAACAAAAATTTTTCTATAGTTTAAACAGGAAATGTAAAATCTATAAATGACAAAGGATCACTACATCTATAAGCATTTATTTTCTAATTTTTTTCTGTTTCCCTCTGAATAGAATCACTTTAATCAGATAAATTTACCTCATACCATTCATTTATTTCATACAACAGAACATAGGAAGCCACCAAAAAAGCAATCATCCCCAGAAAACACTGCGGCTGATTTTCTTATCAATAAGGCAAGAGTTAATTTCTTTGCACTTTGATTTTTTTTTAATAAAGGCATAAAAGTCCAAAGAGAAAACAGTATTCATCCCACATAATTAAATACTCAACCCACCAATCCACACCCAGCCAGCCTTTTGCCAAGCCTGGGATTCAGGGGCCGAGCAAGAACAGCAGCTCATCGTATTCACATTTCCAAATGCACGTAAGTAACCTGTTATCTTTCATCGGCTTATATTCTTTTCATAGCACAATGGTTATTTGTGACGCATGTTCAGAGAACATACTTCTGCACTGCAGCATGATATTAAACTCACATGGGCACCCACACATTCTTCCCAGATTTAATCAGTATTTTGTTAGTGAGCTTTCATGTTTTTTTAAGCAAGTGGTTAGGAAGCAAGTGCTTGTACACCAAAAACTTAAGACCTGTGAAAGGTAAAAGTCTTTATTTTATAATGACTTATAATCTATTAAAATCTAAAAAGAAGACAAACAGTAGGAAATGCCAGTAAAAATAGCCTACTGGTTCAGAAAAATAAAGTGATTAATGATACCTTTTGGGTATACATAAGCACTTATTTATAGCATTAAAACTAGCATAGTTTTTTAAACATTTATATTAATTTATGACTTTAATGGGTGATAAAGAGAGATATTTTTATATATCTGATTCTTGCAGAAATAATGCCAAATTCACATCTTATTCACCAGCTATCTGTGTGGGGGTCAATATAAAGTGGAAGAATATTATTAATATACATTTATATTAATTTTTTAAAAACCCTCCAAATAATCACAGATGTCCAATAATATAAGGATTTTAGTAATACCAAATAAGAAAAAAAAATCCAGTGGTTATATTTAAGTTTTAAAAAGGAGAAAACATAGAATTGTATACCATACTATTACATAAAATTTGTATTATTCTAGGGACACCTGGGTAGCTCAGTCAATTAAGTGGCTGACTCTTGATTTCAGCTCAGGTCATGATCTCAGGGTTGTGAGACTGAGCTGAGCTTGGAGCCTGTGTTTCTCTCCCTCCCTCTCTGCCCCTGCTCCCTGCTCTCTCTCTCTTGCATGCATGCACATATGTACACTCTCTCTCTCTCTCTAAAAAAAAAAAATTTATATTATTCTAGTTTACATATGTCTATTATTTCCAAATATCTATTTGGGGACTGTTGGCATATCTAGGTTGAAAAACAACTGATTGTAGAGAAACCTAACAAACATACAAGGGATATAAAATTGCTAATTTACAAATATATAATGTAGAAAAATAATTTTAGACATAAAACTTAATATGCATTACTGCCTGAGATTTGCTGTGAGTACCCTCTATTAGCTCAGTCTTGGAATTCTGATGAAGTCTCTGAGCAAGACTCCCCCACTGCTCCAGCCTACTTAAATGTAATTACATATATACATGTAATTGCACAAGAATTAAACAGAAAAGAAATATTGTAGTTGGTTATATAAGAATCTATTCCTAGCTCTGGCTGTTAAGTCATAAATGCATCTAGAGAGACAGGCAGATGTCAATAGCTACGTGATCCTAAAGGTTTTAAGTGAAAATTCGAGAAATTGGGGTTATCTGCCTTAAATTTTATGAATCCAAATAGACACACTAATACAAACACACAAGTCATTATTTTTGTTAATAAACAAGATAACACATCACAACAGTGATCCCTGAAAGCATCTGGAGTTGGTCTTTATAAATTGAGAACTGTAAGTTTCGATTTCTGTTCACCCTTAAGTCATCACTCCCCATCTTGTCTACTTGTCAGGCTACTGTAAATCCTGGCACTCACCAGTACAAAGTGGTATGCATACAGCGCTGTACAATGGTGAATTATAAAATATTTGTCACCAATCACTTTCCAATACAAAATGAGAATCAACAAATCTGAAAGAAGGAAAAATAAGTGAGATATTACATAGGAAGAAGGCTGTACTTTTCCCAGTGTATTTAACTTTCCTCCTTAACAACTTGTCACAGTCCATACTGAGCCCACGGCACTTTGTTCATACTTCACTAGTCCAGTTACCCACCTTATTGTAAAGTACCTGCTTCCACACGACTGTTCCCCCCACTCTACTGTGACCTCCCAGGACGAGGACCAGGTGTGGGAATCCAGCACAGTGCCCACCACACAGGTAATATATTGGTTGAAAGTACAAATGAATAACTTGTTTCCAGGGTTAAATAAAACGGAAATGTTACTGAATAAAAATAATTTTTAAATAAGCTTAAATTACTGACGTTTGTGACTACAACAACTCACACAGATAAGATGGCTGGAGAAAAGGTACAAAATGACCAACTCATTCATAACACAAATTCAACAAACTATATTTAAAAATTAACAAAGGATATGATTAAATATTAATTCAAAATAGCAACAAAAACAAAAACAAGAACTAAAACTATTAAAAAGATATGCAAAGAAAGAGGTCAAGGCCTCAATTTCTCCTTAAGAGATCCTGAAACTAAACACCATGATTCCGAAAATAGTTTCCCTTAACAAAACAGAATGTTTAACAAAACAGAAACTTCTCAAAATGTTAACACAACTATGTTCTTTACCAAATGGCTACATGTGAAAGGCAGACATGGAGACAAATGGCTATCATGGATGGAAACCAGGGGAGGATTCAAGGCTTATGGGACTGGAGCTTATATAATATGGGAACCTTCTTTTATATATTAAAAAAATGAAAATTACTGATACAAAACTAGATGTGAATATTTATTTTTAAAAAAGTGATCAGATTATAAATTTTAAAGAGAAAACAAACAGTACAAATGTGGAAATCAAGAAAATATAACACTATTAGTAACTGACTGCATGATAGACCTCTCTAGATATATTTTCCCGATGAATTGTGGCTGTACCCTCTTTGGTCACCAATTTCTATGATAATGACCTTGTAATATTTTCCATAGAGAGAATAAAAAGAATTCACTTTTCATTCAGCTTGGTTTAGAAAAGTCGGTTTCAGTTCATAATTCTTATTTTTAAGTGCTTCAGAGTATTATATTATTTGGGGAAACCTTTATCAAGTTTCTTTCATACAAGACTTTCTGGGTGGTGACTACTCTCTGAACGGACAAGGCTCATGAAGCGGTGCAAGAGGTGTACTATAAATTGTGTGTCATCCTTGTCAATGACAGCATTTTGTGCCAAACAAGCAAATCTTTTTCCAATGTATTCACATGATTCACTCTTCTTTTAATTGGGCCATCAAATAATCCAATCACCTATTCACTATTTTAATTTGAAATTTATCTCTTCCTCCTAATGAATTACGGTGTGTTTTGGTATAATTTAATCTTTTTGTTATAATTCACTTCTTGATGGCAGAAAATTTTCTATTGAGTCCATCACTCATCTTTATCACTTTTGTTTCATATCCCATTATTTTTATTTGTATTTTTCAGCTATTTATTACATTTAAAAATTATATAATAGGGTTCCCTATATAAAATGTCCAAATCAGGGGTCTGTTCTTTTTCTCTTGTCTTACAGAGACTGTCTAGAATGTCTTTTCAAAAAGTTTAAATGGTATATTCTCACTTAATTTCTCCTTTGTCTCATAGTATAGAAGGCTATTCCAACCCCTTCCCACAGGAGGAGAAATATGACAGAGGGAAACATGGAGTAGAAAGAGTCCATGATCTTAACTGATCATGGCTAAAACAGTTTCCTTTTGTGAACTTTCCCCAAACAATACAAAACTGCAAGCACAAGAACACATTTCAAGGGCCCTTACAAGTGAGAGAAACTTTGATGCTTAAACTTCATTAGCTTCCCAGGAATTCCACCTGAGAGACCCTGTAGACCAAAAAATGGACCATCGCTAGTAAAAAAATACCCAGGCCTAACTGAGGCCCCACTCTGCAGCTCTATTGTCAAAGAGAACCAGAGAGCCAACAGGAAAAATGTTTCATGTTCTACCATCACAGCAGGTATTTTTTTCCTCTTATGGGTCCTACAAGTGACTTCTCCAATAAATAAACCAAAAGCATAGACTGTGTATTCTTTGTAAAATCCCATGAGTACTTTAAAAAGAAAGAGAGTGGCCAACATATCACATACCAGAAATGAGGTAGCCGGAAGCAATAGAGATATTCACTTTCACAAGCGATGAATCACCCCTATAAATATTAAAAAAAAAAAAAAAAGATTCCCTTTTTTTAGCACATGGTTATAAATGACAGCTACATTTTTTTCCTATTGAGAAATGTAATTAAAATGCTCTCTATAGATTCTTGAATGGTAAATTGTCATTTGTACCAGGCCCTGTGTTAGCTTGAAATACTTCTAACTGCACAAATAATCATAATTTCTTATATTAGCTATAAGTTTTATATAAATAATTTTACCAAAAGATAACTTTTTATAAATGTGTTCTCATATGATTTCTTGAATTTCCAGATGCTGGCTGGTTTTTGTTTTTGTTTTTTATTCCTTATTCTAAATCAGAGATTCAAATACTCAAGAAATCATCTAGCCTGCCCCTGATCTTTTTTTTTTTTTTTTAAAGATTTTATTTATTTATTTGACAGAGAGACACAGTGAGAGAGGGAACACAAGCAGGGGGAGTGGGAGAGAGAGAAGC